GCCGGCTGCCGTGGCAGGAGAGAGGCGCAGGAGCGGCGCGGTCCGGCGGCGATGGCGGGGGGAAGCGGCAGTCGGACCCTCTGGCCTGGCCCGTGGCCACGGGCAACCGCGAGATGAGAGCTGAGAGCCGGGCACAGCGCTCCTGGGGATGGCCACGAGGGATGCATGCCGGCAGCCACACCGGCCTGGAAACATGGGCAAGCTTCGCTTTGGCGAGGTTGCCATCGAAGGCAGAGACAAAATGCAACAGGTCGATGGAGAAGGCGGCGAAAGGATGAAAGAAAAAGCTCCCGTGTGGGCAGAGCGGCCCCGGGGCACGCTGGCAGAGCGGGCGATGCCCCTGCCCGGCACGCAGCGATGCACCGCGCCGGCGCTGCGGTGCTGCTGAATGCATTCGACGCAATTTTTCAAGCAAGCTAATCAGTCCCTCTCATCTCCTGCCATTAGCGCCGTCACACTAACCGCTCGCTCGCCGGCGGGAGGCCGAAGCTGCCTGACAAGAGCTTCGACTAATGCGCTTGCACCTCATCAAAAGCGAATTCATCTGTAAGAGTATGGCAGGGACCGCCTCTCCGGCATCCCTGCGGGGAGAGGGGCTCAAAGGAAAGCCACGAAGGGAAGAACTCAAACCAAACCCACAGCTTTTCCACCCCTCGCCCTGCAGGTTGGGATCAGAGCCTCCGGCTGGAGCCACCGAATCGCTCGGCTCCGTGCGAAAGCGCCCGGGAGGGGGATTTTCCCCGGCTTGGCATGTCGGGGGCTGCGGTGATGCCGGCTGCGGCAGGGAGAGCCGCGCCGCGCTCAGCCCGGCACAACACTTGGCCCGTCTCTGCCTTGGCACAGGGGGACCCAACTCTTTCGAAGACTTGGCTCCCACCGCCAGCGCGACGTGCTTGGACGCACAGCCCCGGAGCTCAGCGGGTCCGGCCACCGCACCGAATCCTGCTCCCGCAGCCTCTGGGCAGGAACTGGGGGTGGCACTTGGGAATTTGGGTGACTCCCGCTCCTGCAGCTGCAGGGGAGAGGGTGGAAGAAGCTGGTTTGGTGTGACGGAGGGGCTCAGGAGCTCAGGAATGCTCCAAATGGGGTGCGGAGAACAGACCCTATTTATAAGCAGCCAGGTAGCACGTAGGTGGTTGGTCACAGCCTGCTGTGCCAGCCCGGTTAGTCACAGCCAGTTAAAAATCAAAAATGCTGAAAAAAATCGCTCAGATCCGTGTCTAAATCCTCTCAGACGCAGGAAAGCGCACTCGCAATTTGGAAACGTGGGGTAAGATACACCCAGGCTTTGCTGTCAGCCCCATCAGAGACTCCGGCGCACAGACCACGGCGGAGGGATGCTACTGGGACACATCCCCTGCCCCGTCCAGGAGGAC